CATTTTACGAAACACCTGTTAAAAGTTATCATTTAATGAGTCAGAATAGTGTTTGGAGTCGACATATGATAATAAACATGCCTCTATCTGCAGTACAACCATCCGCTCGAGTGGATTGCATACGATGAACCGTATCCAAAGCGTAGAAAGACGCGACATTAACAGCGAAAATTATATAGTGTTATTGAAACATTTGAAAGAAGTCGTGGAAAAACGGTTATATATCCAGAAGAAGAAACAAGTTGATGAAAATAATAGTTTAATTGTATAAATTGGGCTTCGACTTAATTCCGCCCCCATCGTATTCTCCGAATAGGATCTTAGCGACTTTTTGCCGTTTTTCAGAACTCAAAGAAATGTTCGTTGTTAAGAAATATGACCACAAAGACAAGGTAAATGCCGAGACTGTTCAAAACTGTTATAATCTGAATTTCTCTCATTCAAGTAAATACACTTTGAATTCTATCATCAAATATATTGATTAAACCCCATTCGATATTTGATTTACCTTTAAAAATTATATAAAAATAGTGCGCTTTGTTTAGCTTTACTTATTACTGAAATAAAACCATATCTTCGTTTCGTAGAACGAATAGTACTCGTTGTTCTAATTTTACCAGAAGAGAGGCGATCGCTAATTTTTACATAATATATTTTATTTAACTTTTCGCAAGAGTTTGGACTATAAATACTGAAAAAAATTAATTGTGATAAATTTAGAGTGCGAAACTTTATAGTAAATTTCAGACCTTAGCAGGAAATATTTGAAAGTTGCAGTTATTACTAGGAGAAAAATTTAAACTGCTTACCTTTTGAATGAGCATCTGACAGGCGAGTATACCCAGGGACCACCAATCGACTGCATGACCGTAAGGCTCACCACGCAACAACTCCGGCGCTGGCAATGAGAAATGAAAACACACATGTATTGTTTGATGAAGTATGTTTGAGCTGGTGTTATTGTGAAATAAAGCAATTTTTATAATTATTTACATTTACTTAATATGTTTAGAAGCAAAAGAGATAAGCAAAAATGTTATTATATTCGTTTCAGTTAAAACGAAGTACTTTTCAGAACAGAATACGAATATTCATTATACGCCCTGGTGGTCCTACTTTCAAATCTAATGTTTAGCTTAAAAATTTGTTGTTATGGAAGCAAGTGGTCTTCACAAATATTTACGATGTATTGACATTAAAATTATCCGAGATTAAAACTATTTTCTGTTGCATGTGAAAGTTCATGTTATGCGAGTTTTTCGCTAATACTTTGACTGGACAACAGTTCTTTCTCTTCCAAGACATTTGAGTTTACGTAACCAAAGCGCCAAAGCGTATCCGGATTTACACAAAGTTAGTGACGGCCTCTACAACAAGAATGCGTAAACATTTTTACGATTATTAAGCTGAAACAACAACCACAGTAATATCTGGGTTCAATCCCTATAAGGAATGCTATAAGTTTTGAACCTCATTTCAAGCGATTTTTACTTTCTAATTTATTTTGCTATTTTTTAAAAATAGTAGAGAATTTGTCAAGAGATTTCAGGGTCTACACAAAAACCGAAACAGACCCATTTGTTTATAATTTATCTCCGGCAAATGACTATAAATTCGTTAGCATTCTTAAAGACTATTTGGTGAGTGTTATTGTCGCAACAACAACAACAACATCGACAAAAGCAGCCTTTGTAGTTATTTGCTTTGCGAATATTTGGTTTTTATCTTTAAGCTTAGTTTGTCAAAATGCTAAAAGCAACAACAATCAGTTGGGAATATGGAAGCATGCACGCAGATTTTGTTTTTGTCCATGTGCCACCACTTTGGGTGAATCCGCTTTGAATGAAATGCAAATATTAAAACTGAAAACATTTTATAAAAAATAAATGAAATTAAAAGCATAACAAAACAATTCTAGCCGAATTTTACACAGTAAATACCACTCCATATATGTATGTATGTATATTAAATTCTCCGTCCAACCCGATTTTTTTTAGGAAACGGAAGAAATGAAAATGTCAAATTTATGTGCAATAAAATCAAAAGAAACAGACGAACACACAAGCAAACAAACAGACAGACAACAGTGGAGGGGATAAAACTGGACCAACGCCGATCAAAGCGCACTAAATATTCCGTATAAATAACAATGCGATTATTTGATATTTTTTAAAAATTCTGTTTACTTAATATATTTACACATTTCATTTTTCATTTCTTGAATTTTGTTTTATATATTTTTTTCTTGTTGCATTCATTAGGCATACACAACTAAATGTACAATTATTTTATATATGTATGTATATATATATTCATTGCTACAACTAAGTGATTAATGCTTTAAATATATATAATATTTGTATATGGTAGAAATCGTCGTAAACACCATTACTTTTATTGTAGTAATTATAATTTAATTACTACATAATTAATATGTCTATTACAATTATGAACTATTCACGAATTGAAGAGATTAATCGCCACAAGTATTTGCTTTACTTATGTTGCAAGAAGTACTTTAATTTCTCGCTTTAGCATGATTTAAAAACTTTAGACATTGTAAAAGTTCAAATTCATTATTACTTAAAAAATAGATTAGGTTTTAAAATTACAAGAAAAAATTGCCATTTCTATGCTAGTTAAAGTAAATATTACATATATATATATATCTGCTCGGCTAAACATTTAGTTTGATTTCCATATACTCATCATCATCATTATCATCATCATCATCATTTTCATCATTGTCCTCATCAAATTTTATCAGTTGCTTTAAATACATACAAACATACATACATATGCATGTATGTGTATGTAGGTATGAATACAGGTATGTTTACAAGTGTTAATTAATCACTTAAAATTAACTACAGTATATATGAATCACAATTCTTTTTGTTGTTCTATCAATTATTACTGATGTAGACAAACTAAGACAACAGTTAAACATAATTGATATTCTTATTTTCACTAAAAATGAGCCTTTTTTATTTTTTATTTATAAATCCTATTAGTTTAAATAATAGTTTGTGATACGCAGTTGTTTGCAATATAAAAAAAATTAAACAAAAATAAATTACTACACGCAATATTAAGAGATATTTCATCAGATTTACCTACTGACTAATGGTAATGGCGTATGGATACATATATGTATATATGTTATGTCGCATACCTTTTACACCCTAGCTTTATTCATTCATTTTGATTTTCAACAAGAATGCATTGATTCTTCTCTCATACTAAGAACAATATATATATGTACATACATAGTGTCAATACTTTTGTGTATTTAAGCATTTACATATACATATGTATGTATGTACGCACATTTGGTGCGAGTGTGTGTGTGTTCATCAATCACTTATTTAGAAAGTAGACAAATTTTAATTAAATTTTAATTAATTTGTTCACAGTTTTTGCGACTAATCGAGATTGAAAACCTAACGGTAAAATCGTTGTTGCACTAAATAATTGTAATAGAATTGGAGTTTCTCGCTAAATACAAGTATGAATCACTTTCTTACAACAAAGCTTTACGTTAATTTGTTTACCAAAATACAGCTATATACATACATAAGACATGAGTTGTCAATAGCTCAAAGAAACATTGTTAGCAATTTCATTATTTCTTTTTTTATGGTTTTTGTTTTCTTTCTACTAACGGTAAATAGCTGCTATTACACTGAATTTATTTGCTCATTTACATTTACATGTTTATATTTATCAGTGTATGTGCTTATTGCATACATATGCATGTGAGTGTGTTTAGAGCTTGTTGCTTTGTTTGCTTACAAAGCTAAAATTAATTTTATTTATAATTTTTATATTTCTACATATTTATTACTGCTGAATTGCAGCACTCAATTTTTCTCATTTTTTTATATTTTATTTATATATTTAAGATTTTAGTTTAAGAATATTTAGAACAATGCTCTTTTGTTTAAGTTCGGAGATGTTACAAAGTGGTGCTGCAAAATATAATTTAGTATATACTCGTATGTATGTATATATTGTATTATTGTTTTATATATTATACGCTGTTCATACATATGTATATGGATCGAGTTGGTGGACTGTGTTAAAGGTTTGACATAATTTAGGTCCCAAAAAGTGGCTAATTATATACACGTGTAAAATTCAAGTGTTGCCTAAGAGGTGGATAAACACTTGTGAGTATAAAATATATTACATTATATGTGTGTGGGTGTAAATGTGGGCGTTGGTTTGTGCTTAAGGACCGTATTTTAAAAGTGATGCAATAAATTGGTTATTTTGTTGTTGGTATTTTTTCAATATAAATTCCAACATATGCATAATTTACTCAAATCATATTTAACGTTATTTTCAGTGTTCGCATGGCGACTGTTTCAAATAGTTTCAAGTATTTTGATTATCAAATTCAATTTAACTTCAAAGTTTACTCAACTTTAAACAGATTAAAATTAATAAAAATAAATTTATAAATAAAATGCATGCCAAGGCTTAAGAATTCATATATAATTATTAATTTTTATTGAGTTTTCATTACTCATCAGATGTGTGGAAAAAATGTTCCTTTAAAAAACTAAAAACTATTTTGTACAGCGTAATAGCACGTAGATTGCTACATGGTTTTAGACGTTGGGGTATGGATTGAATCGATTCGATTTCTAAAAAATGTTTAAACGCATATATTCATATACATATATTTATAAATAGATGTATATATATTTTCATACCCACTCACTCAAAGATTTACATTTGTCGACGCATTTTCATTAAAAAAAATTTTAAAAAATATTAATACAATTTTTACTTTTCACCCAATAAAGGCAAATTATTTGTATGCATTTCAGTTAAGCTTGCATTCGCCGCTACAATAAAGCAATAACAGCATTTGCACTAAATAGCCTTTGCAACTGCTCATTTGTTTTTATTTTCAATGCATTGCTTTTGAATTTCGTTTTTAATATCCAATTAGGTTTTTAAAAAAGAAAGTATAGAGTGCGAATATAGTAAAATTTTAAAATGTTTTTATTTCATTTATGTGTTGCTGTAAGTGCAAGCACATTATCGACACATGAGTCTCTTTAAGTTTAATATTTTTTCTTTCTCATTTCTGTTTTTTCACGTTTCATACACAAAACACAACAATGAACAACATCAATGGTACACACTAAAACACATCTACATTTACTATGCATATTACTCGCACTTCCTTCTTCATCGTGTTTATTACAATTCATTTCATAAAATTCATAAAAACGTAAACTACTTAGTATCATGGGTAGTACGTTGGGTTTGGTGCCTTCGTTAAATTGATAATAATTCATTCGCTACAACAGAATAATCAATCTATAGCATTTATTGTGCTATTACTTTAATAATTTTTACATTTTTTTCAATTGCTCGTGCTTACAGTGGTTATTTTTAGGCTGTTACATATCAAATTATAAAATACAGTATAGCAGTTCATTAGCCCTTGCATTGCTACTACAAAGAACATGCAGTAGAAAAAATATATATTAAACTTACAAAACAAAAATTATAAAAGTACTTAAGGAATACGAACAACCGCATGGATACGCAGTTCAAATCAAATACACGCTTTAGCTGTACATCTGGTGATTATAAGGCTTAAGTTATAGAACTTAGAAATAAAAACTTCGCATATATATCTAATTGAACGAGTTCAAATCAAGATCAAGATCACAAAATCATAACAAATAAAATATAAGCAAAACTTATTGAGAATGAGTTCCGTGTAACCCAATTTAATGTAGGTTAATATATTTTCTATGCAAGGTACGCTGACTTAAAAAATACAACTTAACTTTAAGTTAAAAAAGTTTTAATAACATAATATTGGATAACGTATAAAAAAAAAACTAAATTAATTATGCAGGCCAGTGCATAGACAAAAAAAAATAATAATAATAAATAAAAATTAATTCAAGACACTAGTGTGTATAAAACAAATATTGAACTCAATGTCGCATTTAAGATCAAAATATTTTAGGTTAACAGAATTTTACAAATTTTTAAATTTTCAATTTAAATTTTGTATGTAAAAAATATTGGCAATGCTATGACAACACTTTTCTGAATTGTGGCATTGTTCGCTTTATGCATTATCGACTTTATATTTACGAGTAATTACATTGATAAACTTGAAACTCAGAATAATATTATTTTCCATATTTAGTAAGAGCATTGCAGCTGCAATTTGCAATATTATTTATCATTATTGATTTTGTGGGGTTTTATACTTTATACAGCGTCTTGGTAATACTACACAAACTGACAAGCAACCAGCAAGAGAGCGCTCGAGTGCAAATTTCGTAGAAGCTTGAGACTAATTCGCAGTTAATCTTTAAACATCAACACTTTTGTGTCTTTTTTTTTAGTTTTTTTTTTTTTTTTGCTTCTATTCATACTTTTTACGGCACACTTCAGTCATGATAAATTTAAAATTTAGTCATCACTCAACGTTAAAGCTTGAAAACAATCAAAAAGGCGTAAGCAGATTACATTGTTGAAACGAGTTGATGAGATTTGTCAAAATTAGTGGTGCTCATTTAGCACAATTTTCACTCATCATTTTTGCGCTTCTACGCTTACGCTCTCACGAATCAAGCGCTCCTTTGCAATTGGTTTTAGGCGTTTCAGTTTGCGTAGGGTGGAACACACGTACGTTACAAGTCCATTTAATCGTAAACAATTAACAATTAAGCTGAGTTTAGCAACTATCTATTTAAATGTATATTGTATTTCAGCATTCAGCGTGATAACTGGTTGGTTGAGTGCAACTAAAATGAGCCAAGGCGATTGTGTTGACATAAAAACAGCAAAATCATGCCACCCACAACAGCCAAAATTGATTTGCGCTCGCTATGCTTAGCACCTATACAGGTGGTTTGGAGCGCGTTCAGCTCCATGTTGACATCACTCAACGCTCTGCTACAGTGTGCTCGGCTGACTTGAGAAATCATAATACTTGTACCCTTATTGAAGTACTTTCCACCGGCCACAACAATCGTGTCCTTAGCATATACAGGCTGTAATTCTTCGATTACTTGCTGTTGTGGTTTCTCTTCATGCTGTTGTTGCTGCTGTTGTGACTGTTGTTTCTGCTTTTGTTGGCGGTGGCTACGCCCACTCGCAAGCATTACACGTCACAACGTAAATGTCTCCTTAATTATCTTCTTAACGGTATTTGTTACCGAGGGCGTTTGTGAGCCAGCAGTCGTGTAATCAAACTTAAAGAGATACGGCTGTACATCGGGATATGAAGTGTCGAAAATCAAATCTAATTCACTTTGACTTGGCGTTTTCGGTACATAATCCGAACGATTCATTAGCTCAGTGATATATATAACTTTTTCAGTTAAAAGATCGGAAACGTTTTCTCTGCTGAGTTGGCGATCGTCTTCATTTTCATACTTTATGAGATCTAAATGAACTGTCCATACCTCCCATGGTATACACTCTTGCTGGAAGAGCCAGCGCGATTTGCGCTTCTGAAAGAATTCCAAGCTTATTTGGCCGGAACCGCAACTTTCATTTGAACGTAACTTCTCGCTGAAAACGTTGACGGCTCGTTTTACGGTGCGCAACAGCCCTTCGGAAGTGCAGCAAACGTATGTGAAATCAATGAAATCACAATCCACGTCGGTGTAGCCAATAGTGCCGATGGAATATTGAGCATCCCCTGTATACATGTATTTGCCTTGGCAGCGATGGAAAAGAACCGTATGAAAGATGCTAGCAACAGCTTCGTCCACTTGCCGCCCTTCGATGGTGAGGTCGAAAACCTGCGACCGAGCGTTCATCGTGTTGGGGAATAGGGGAAATGTGTTCGCGACCAGTTGATGACGGTGTTATGTTTGAAATTTGACACTCTTCGATGACAGGTACTAATTAAGAGTTAATTTCTCTCACCACATTCCCCAGTTTATTTCAAAAACTTATGTTTTCTAATGTTTTTTCACTAAGCATTTAAATAACTTAAACGAACCGATTAAATTAATTCAAAATTTGTACAGTTTTTGGTATCTAAATAATTGATACGTGCTTTTCTTCCTAAACAATATGTTATTTTTTCCTTTTCTTCTGTTTTCAACACAGTTATCGGTTTGTTTGTTGTTGCTGTTCGCTTTGTTAACAGTTAGCTATATCTTTTGTTATTGTTTCTTGCACAAATCTGCGTTTTCATCAAACTATTTTTAAATATGGTTGTTTGAAAGGTTTAAAACTGTTTTGTTTAGTAGCCCTTTTTCTATATCGGATTTACCGTTAAATACATTCTATTTATATTAACAAGGATTGCTTTTGTCATTTGGTTCAAATCGTACCCATATATTGGAAAGTGCCGCACATAGTCCTTGTTGTTGCACCTAAGCGAAGCCACTTACTAAGTCCGAAATCCGTTATTTTTATGTGAAAGTTGCCGGTCAGCAGAATGTTTTCCGGTTTAACATCACGATATATTACACCAGCATTATGGAGAAAGTCTACAGTATCCCAAATAGAAATCATAGAGATATTAAAAGGATGAGTACCAATATGCAAAGAGGTTAATTACCAATAGCCAGTGCAATTTCCGCTAAATATACCCTTATGAGATCCAATGAGAAGTGAGTTAATTTAGAGAAGAGTTCACCATTCGGCACATATTCCGAAACTGTAACGAGTGAAACAGTAAAGTGATTAATATTCATAGACAATGTTTTAAAAATAGGAGACCAGGAAAATTGTTTTGGTTTCCCTTAATTTGACAAAAAATAAGTAAAAAAAAAAATACAGGAAAAATAATCTAATTCCTCACTTAAGATTATTTGGACTCTGATATCTTCTATTATAAACAAACTTGCATTTGAAAGCAACGACTGTTATCTAGTTGAATTCAATAAAAACACTTCAACAAACTTATATACGGTACATACATTGATGTTATTGTCATAATATTGGGCCCTAGCTCAAAGCGACCACTACCAATATGAGTTCCTATTAAGACGTTATATGTATCGAACGTACATATATTTGATAATATTCTCCGAAAAATTAAAGCGGCAAATAGTTTCGTAAATAGGAGCGTATTTGTAGGAATTTTTTTAGCTTAGCATAATCGGCTGCAAATTTAAAAGCGGTTTTTCTCGAAACGAAGCAATATAATAATAATTTCCGAAGGCAACTTATAGTAGGATTTTAATTTAGTATTTATCATACAATTTCATGTATTGTTAATTTTTAATCATCTTACGTATATGCAAGTTACGACGATTCTGCCATGAATCCACTTGTTGCACAATAAACGAATGGTGACCGCACAACTTTTGAATATCCGCTTCGTCTTTTATTTGCTGCACACTGTTCTCCTCGATTATCTGTAAAAGCCATAAGTGCACAAGTTAATAATTGCAAGAAGCAAAAAAAAAGTAATAACGGCAAAAAGCAAAAGCGAGTAGTTAACGCAAATTAGTCATAAGATACAATAAAAAGATCCGATTGTGAAATACATGTTTACGTCAAATGAAATAAGACATTTACGCATTTTACTTACTTTGGACTTTTTCAACACTTTGAGTGCATAAATAGGCGCAGGATGTAATGGTGTTGCCGAGCTGTTTGCGGCTTCAGTCGTTTGTGGTTGTGTCAATTCTTGCGCGTAGCGCTTATTAATTACTTTGAAGACAACACCGAATGCACCCTTGGCCACCAAGTCTATAATGTGGAATTGATCGTTGCGACTGGCTTCCTTAAAATGTGAACTGAATATGGCATTGGTAAGTGGCTTATGCCATTGGGTCTTGGAGCGACGCTGCTGTGCCGATGTTAAGCTATTGAGAATACAATATTATTATATACAAATATATTAATAATAATAAGCACATAAACATATGTACATACATAACTAGTTAAACGGTCAAATACCTTGTTTGTGTGTTTGTAAATATAATTTAGGTTCAATTACCTTTTTCTGGTTGACTTATTGCGATTGTGAAATGAATTCCTATTAGCACCACCAGAAAAGCTCCAATTCAGACGGCCACTTAAGCTGCCAAAACTCCAAGCGGAAGCCTGTAAATGCGCGAAAAAGAGTTTTAGATGTTAAACAATGTGTTTATAATAAAAAAAAATTGTTTACAGTATTTTTATTTTTTAAATGCACTCTAGCACTAAAATAATCAATGGCCCGTTTACCGTTCGCATCAATGAAGAACCGTTAGGGCAGTCAGTCATTAATTAAAATTGATATGATTATGTTATTTATAAAGTCAACGTTGATACAGAGCACTGAACCTTCGATAATGGCATACGTGCACATTTGGCGATTTGAATTTGTGCGCTTCAAACTGTGCGCAATTAAATTCATGTACTCCAATTAATTGCTTGTTGGATTTGAAGTGCTGCTGATTACCGAACAGATTTAATTTAGCACAGTCGGAGGCAAAAACATTACTTTGATTGGTTGGGCGCGTTGGTAATACAGAGGTGATTGGAGAATTATGACAATATAATATGACACAGTTTTATATATTTTTGTTGTAGCTCGTTCTAACGGTTTGCTTTTTGTGAGGGATTTCACACAGCCTAAGCGTTTGTTGGTGTCATTATATTGTTGTTATTACTTTTCGAATACTTTATTATACCAGTAGTAATTATTTCATGCGAAGAATGTTTGTATGTGTGTGTGTGTGTCGTATACTCATTTACATAATACCAATAATATTGCTGAGCGAATTGAAAGTTGTAATGGCATAAGAAATGAGTTCGAAAACAAATATGTATGTTCGTGCATTTTACGGTATTGTATAATGTCGTAAACTATGTTATGTACTATGTTATCAGGAAAATAACATACTTACATACTAATGTTGTACTGCAAGCGATTTTCTTTAACAACAACTATACCATATTGGGAGCACATGAGAAAACAGTATATTTTCATGCGCAATTTTTATTTTCATATATTTGTGTTTACATGCAGAGTATAAAACACGAAGTTACAATAAAGCAAGGTAATAAACAACAAGTTATTAGCGCTGAAATATAACTACGTACTGGAAAAATATATAAGCATGATGTTTTCAATAAAGTAATTTAGATTTGTTGAGCGAAAATATTGTCAAAACGTATTGTACTAAATATAGCAGGCAAATATAAACAGAAAATAAACAAATAGTTAAAATGTGCAAATATTTTGTGGTAAAATATGTGCAAATATTTTAAAATCAAAACTAATACTACACACATATGTAGTGTCTGTCTTGGCTATGAACACTTTAGCACTGTAAGTTACGTTAAAATAATGCATTTCATTGAAATTATTTAAAAAAATAGCAATTTTTGTGAAGCAACAAACTATTTTAAGTCAATTTTTTCTCTTTGCTGCGACTTTTTTTCTAAAATTGTTTATTTAAAAACTGCTAATGCGCTTCAAGAACACTTCCGGTATTGAATTTAATCACGCTAAAAAATATGTACTTTGCACTTAGAAAAATACAATTTTTGTTTTTACTTCTTTATATAAAAACAAGAAAAAACGTTAACTTCGGTTGCGCCGAAACTATAATACCCTTCACAAATACAAAGGCCCCTTACAAGAACTTGATTCCGATCGTTCAGTTAATATGGCAGCTATATGCTATAGTCGTCCGATCTATACAATTTCTTCGGAGATTAGATTAATGCTTTAAATAATAATACACGCCAAATTTCATGAAGATATCTCGTCAAATGAAAGAGTTTCCCATACAAACACTTGATTCCGATTGTTCAGTTTGTATGGCAGCTATATGCTATAGTCATCCGATCTGTACAATTTCTTCGGAGATTAGATTAATGCTTAAAATAATAATACACGCCAAATTTCATGAAGATATCTCGTCAAATGAAAGAGTTTCCCATACAAACACTTGATTCCGAATGTTCAGTTTGTATGGCAGCTATATGCTATAGTGGTCCGATATCGGCCGTTCCGACAAATGTGCAGCTTTTGAGATAAATCAACTCAGCTCGTCACGGTGATCATTTATATATATACTTTATATGGTCTCCGACGTTTCCTTCTGGGTGTTACAAACTTCGTGGTAAACTTAATATACCCTGTTCAGGGTATAAAAATTGTTTGCATATTTTATTGAAAGTTAAAATATATAAAATACAATATGCATTCCTTGTAGTTTGACAATATTTTCAACAAAAATAGTTTTATATGGAAGCATATTGTACATAAATAAAAAGTAATAAAAAAGCAAATAGTTTTCGAATATGTTCGTGACTAAATACGCTCGTAATGCAAATAAGTGTATTTTAGATGTTTTGTTCGTGTAATTCAAATTGACAAAAGCCTGTATTAATTTCAGCATTTTAAATCAGTAATCAATTACATAAATTAATTAAAAAAAAAAAAAGTAACTCTCAATAGTAAATTCCATTAGCTTTTCGTAATCACTGGTGAATCTTATCAAAATTTGTCACTGATACCCTTTGAAATGGTAAAAAGAAAAAAATTAGATTGTTTTCGATATTGCAGATTTATAAGTTTTTGCGTTGAAACATTTAATATTTACATATGTATGTAAGTATTATATGCATCATAAGAACAGAACAACTTTTAACAACTTAAAATTTAGTCTTACAGTTAAAAATGTTACACAGAGTAAGCTTTTTGGAAATTTTAAAAACCAAATAAATTTCAGAAAATCTTATTCAATATACTATATAACTCAGCATGATTAAGAAAAGTTTCGGAAGTCAAAAAACTGCACAGCATTTTACACATTTTTAAAGAGTAACAAAATAAATCGCTTACTAACAAATGCGCGAAGAAAATAACTTTATCGGCCTATTCTGCAAATAAAACACGTTTAATTAACGGTAGCAAAAAACTCTCCAAATGTAAAATTGTAATCAGCTGATGTTTGTTTACTTTTTATATGCATACGAAACCTTTCTCACTTTTACTACAAGTTATTCCCCACACGGTGTGGTGAGTTGTGAGTTACGCGTGTTGAGGACGTAATAAGGCTTTTTTCAATGTATACACATATGTAAGCATGTGTATTCGTACTAGCAGTGGAATTGATGAGATGTAGCAAATTGAACAGAAACAGAAACAGATTTTCAAACATTTCTGCTCTTGATTCAAGTGAACAGCAACAGAATAGATACTATTGTACATACATATGTACATACACAATTATGAAGTTTTTGTGCTAAAAGTTTTTATTTTTAGCACACTAACAAAGACTTTACGGCATTTCCTGTCAATTATATGTTTTTGTCTCTGCCGCTTTACCCACATATGTACATACATATACATATAACGTTTTTTTTTTTGCATATTCCCTTTCGTTAGTTGATCGCTCGCACATAGTTTTTGTAGAATAGAATATAGAGAATAGAAAAAAAACAAAAAATCCCATTGGATCTGCTTAGTTTTTATGCTTTGTTTTTGATATTTTTGACGCTCTTTCGCGCATTTTTGGCTATTCACTGAAATAGCAGTTTTTGCTTTTCTTCGACGAAAAAATTTTGATATATGTTTTTGATTGATTGAGTTGAATATTATAATTTAAGTTACAATGCACTATAACAATGGAACTTTTTTAATTTTAGTGGGTAGATGACCTCATGGCCAATTTAGTAGTATCTATTAGACAGAAGAGTCCCAACTGGTCTTGTTTGGTAGAACAGCTGCTAGACAGTATGTCCGTGGACTCCCGAACATGGAGTATCTTCCAAATTATACGGTCAAGACAGTAAAGCATGGTGGCCTTACCAGTTTAGTATGGGCCTTTTTTTCTTATATCTGTGTGGGCCCAACAAATATGATCGATGGGATCATGGATCAAAATGTGTATGTGGAGATATTAAGGAACGCTATGCTGTCTCATGCCAGTTGGTTCAGTAAGTAAGTCCACCTTAAAGCGAACATTACAGCAGTATAACGATCGAACTCAGTCCAGCAATTGGCTAAAAACTGGCGAAAGGCCAAGAAAAGATTGTTTTAAAACCATGGCCAGACACAGATCTCAACCCCATAAAAAACTTTTGGGGAGACATCAAATGCCATGTTTCTAAGCAATCCCCGTCTCCTAAACCGCAGCTTTGAGGTTGTTCAAGAGGTACGGGCGCAGATCTAAGCTCAACGGTCAAAGCATATCTTCCTTGGAGCAGTGATGTCCTCTACCCACTAAAATTAAAAACTTTCCATTGTAACTTAAATTATAATAATCTACTCAATCACACTCACTATGTACAAATTTACATATTTTTCGGCACATGTACAGGGACTTGATTAGAGATTAGATAGGTGACACAATTTCTTCATAGCAATAACAAATACAATGCCCGCTCTCTTCAAACAGACGCAAAAAATGCCACGCGGTATTTATGGTAAATCCATTTCGAAGTAAAAAAAAAACGTAGACACAATAATAACAAAACGGCTAGTGTTTTGCATTAGAATGCCACTATCAGCGCGACAATACCTAGTCAACAACAAAAAAAAACGAGCATTAATAATAATAAAAAATAAATAAACACAGAAACAAAAACAATAACAAAATTACACGTGTGTAACTTTGTTGTTTGTGTGCTCTACAGTCGTCGCTGTCGCGTTGTAAACACATATTACTTTTTGTTGTTGTTGCTGCTGGTGGTGGTGTCACTTGTGATTACTCAACAATTTTTCCACAGCACAGAAAAATTATTGTAATTACAATACAACAGAACGAGAGAAACAATAACATACGCCGCGGAGCGATACTGAATCTTGATGCACTTCACTAGACACGATTCAATTACACATTCAAATGAAGTTGCTCGGTTGGCAGGCGGGCGGACGGGCGTACGAGCGTTCAGCCAGCCGGCTGTGGAACACGCGTATGGCGCGACGTTGGTCTGCGCAATTTTTTACGTACGTCAAACTAATGAAAATTGGTAATGAGCAGACGAAACTGTCAACTAGTTTACGCCAAGTACTTCAGCTTACCCGCTTTGAGCGCGTTCTTCAATCAACTAAGTTACACGATGCTGCAGCGTTCTTTAATGTTATGACTGCGATGTGACTTATTTTATTATGCGGCTTTGGTTAACACGAACAAGTATCGCTAAGTGGAATATTTATGTTTCTATTTCAGCGCACAAATATTATATTTAACAGTGTATATTTTTATTATTTGTATTTTTATAATGCTGCTTTTGCGTATTCACTAACTTTTGCTGATTTTGTTCGGAAGACGGTTGAATACGTTATGAGCCAGAGAGTTGGGCAGAGCGACCAGCTAGAGTCGCTAATGTTGACTGACGCGTTGTTAAGCGTGCCAACAATGGCAAACGTGCCGAATCGAAGAGCAAAACAGAGCGTCCACAGACCTGCGCGTGTGGCTACTAGCGTCAGCGTTGCGCTGCTAAGCGACTACATAGTACATACATAGATACATACCTATGTACATACATTTACCGCGCTCCTCTCACCTCAGGCGTTGACGCTGTCGTTGTCGGTGTTGTCACTGCTATTGACGCTTTTATCGCCACCTTCGTCACAATAACGCAGCTCTATTTTCTTGTGAAGCGTGCGCCGATGAGCGGGTTGAAAACACCACTCTGAGATCATTAAGCAGCTGGCTAAGCGATTGGTAAGCTAACCGCTTGTTTTTGTAATCGAAACGCAATTGCTCGACAATGAAACGCTTTCAGGGTCTCAATCGATACCCTGCTAACAAGCATTATAATAATGTCTACAATGTCGCAGCTTTCATTGAGATGGTGAGAGAACTCGGTCGTCTATAGCCTCGTCTGCTTGACTCCCGCATGTAATAAGGAAATCAAATCCAATTTGGAAACGACGAGTGAAGTAAGCGACGTCTGCCATACAGTATAACGCCGATAATACGTACTCCATATTTTAATGCTGAGATTAAAAATTAGAAATCGACAATTTTGCTTTGTTCCTCGGTTACGGGTGCATATTTACGAAAACAAATATTATAACCGATTTAAATTCAAGAGTAAATAATACAATTTTAACACATTCATTATAAAAATATATATGTATATACATATATTTTCCATAGCCTGCTACTCGTTTCACCAAAATCTTTCATTATACATATATTTATTTTAAACTAATATATAAAGCTAATTCTACGATTTTACAAAAAATGTTTTGATTTACAAGCAATTTGGGAGAGTTGCTCTTGTTGACTTTTTCATCCTTTTTGTACACTGAACACTGATCAGCATGATGAGCTGAGTCGATTTATTCATGTCCGTCTGTCTGTATATACACAAATTAGTCGCACTGATCAATCAAAATCAAGTCCCTGTATGGAATTTTTTTTAATTTGTGAAGGTTATTATAGTTTTGGTGCAGTCCGATGTTAACGTTTTTTCTTGTTTTTATGACCGCAATCTTATATATATTACAGAGAAATTTATTTGTTGACTACCTCAATCGGCAATATACATAATTAAAAAACATCTGAAGAAGTAATAAGAACTGAGCACTAACGTAAAGAAACGAAAATCTTGTAGTTTCTACGAATCATAATGAAAGTCAGTTCGAAAGTAAACTAATCTAAAGTAATAAAAGAGCTTAACTTTATTTATTTGGGTCTGACTGTATCACCACGTTGTCGGGTGTTTTAGAAAAATAGAATATCAAAAACCAGTTGGCGTAGACAAACTACTTTTACTGCGACGTGAGAGCGAGCGTTTATCAATACAGCGACTATGGCGAGTGAAAAAAGTTTTGCTGATAACGAGTGATGCAGCGGGGAATACTCAGATAACAGCTAAACAAAACTGTCTCCGACAAGGCGGCCAAGGTGTGGACATAAGTACAACAATAAAGTAAAAAAAAAATTAAAACAATTAACAAGAAATATACGTTAAGGCAACCACAACAAATGAAACAATAAAAGTTTGAAAACAAAAATGTTATAACAACAAATCCGGCAAAGTAAATGACAACAAAAAAGTGAGCATGATGAAATTTTCACTTGACCGAAAATCATCAGCGCATCATTTCATAGGGCACATTTGTAAGCATTTTGAAAGAGAGAATGCTCACTCATACATTTAGGCCTACAAAATTGTGTTTTAAGTAGAAATAGCACAAAGGGATCGAGAGAATTAAAGAATATTATTAAATAAAGTCACGACGAGTTCCATACAAAGATTCATTTATATTTACTTTCGTACTTAAGGCGTTTCAAGGCCGTGGTTTTAGCAAACTACATATGTATGTTATAAATCTACTTATACATACACATTATTAGACTATATTCATAAGTATGTATGTAGGTATGTGTGTATGGCCAAACAATGTGTGTATATAATGTAGGGGTTTATAATCATTTTCAAGTGCGTAATTTAAATTCACGACAGCAACATGTGCCATATACATATGTGGGTATGTATAGCCTCTCTATTCTTTATTTCTAATCATATACCGTACATTGCCCGATTAAGGTGAATCAAGTTTGTATGCAAAAATAAAAAACTAAAAACAAAAAAATCGATCAATTGATTGATAAAAAACATTCTAAAATAAAAAAAAATATACGTAAAAAATTAGAACAATAGTTTATATATAATAAAAGGGATAGGTAAGTGAAAAATAATTAACTGTTATTTACTGCTTTTTTAATTGCAAAATTATTCCAAAGTAGCTCTATGTTTGTGTACTTCATATGTATGTATGTATATTCATATACAAGTATGTATTTGTCATGGCGCTGTGCTGATGAATGTCCGAGCGTATTGCGGCGGGCGTTCTTTTGTTCTTTTTCCAAAAAAAAAATTATATGTAGGAACAAATAAATGAAACATAATTAAAAATGGGTTTTTTAAAACATGTCTAACGGGTTTTATTTATTTTCTTTAGGTTTTATCAAAAAGTAACTAACGCGAATATGAAGTATTTCAGCAGCATTTGGAACTTTATAAGCTTTTGGGTTCGGCGAAGCGCGTGGGAAGCTTAATTAAGTGTGACACTACAAAACAAAAATTGTTTTTATACATTTTGCATTTGCTCAATGGTGGTATATCGTCTGACTGTCTGTATACATATGTATGGTATACGCGAACTAGTTCCACTCCGTTCTGAGATATCGCTCACAAATTTTGCACTCGTCCCTTTCTCTTGTAGAAGCGGCTTATTAGCCCGAATCGCCGCTATCATACCGCTATAGCATATAGTACAAACTGATAGATCAAAATTAAATCATTGTATGGAGAAATTTTTTTATTTGACAAGACATTACAAGACACGAAATTTCTCCGAGCAAATAATTCAGATCGAGCCACTATAGAATATAACTGCCTTACAAATTGAACTATCAAAATGAAGTTCTTGTATGGAAACTTTTTTATATGTAAAGGGCTTGGAACCGAAGTTTAGGTATTCTAAAATTTTTTTTTATATAAACGTATATAGCCTTCTATGTAATGCCTGGAGCGCCCTAATATTATATGTATATATTATTTTACTTAATTTTATTTTATTCTATTCTCGTCGAATTTTCTTAACATTCATAAAATAGATTTCCAATGAGCAGTTGAATTAGCCATGGTGTTATTATGAACAACTCAAAATGCTCTATCCATGTGAAATGTGCTCGTAATGTTAACCAACACAATTGTATAAATATGTATGTTTGTACATATGTAGGTATACTTATAAGAATATTTCGAAAGCATTCCGCACTTTTCGAAACATTCTCACCAGCATAGAAAAAAAATTTAGCAGGTAGAAATTATAGTAAAACAAGTAGATCCCAACTTATTTAACATAGTATGTGTATGAATATATACTACTACATGTACTTTGTATATAACTCCATAAGTTTTGTACATTTCGACAAACATCTCTGCCCATTGACTCGCTGGAATAAATCAAAATATATGGATAATTAAGGACACCTTTAGGGATAAACATTTGTCAAACGTCACACTTTACGATATGTTCAAGTATTCATAGGTTTTAATAAACATTCACAGGTAAAAGACATAAAAACCGAAATATGTATTTCAATGAAGAAAAATTCACCATATGTGTCTGTAATAGCAACAGGGGAGATAATGAAGAAACAGGTAAACAATTGTATGGTGTGATATTCAAACCCTTGCAGAATATTACTCCACCATGCAACACAACAATAATTATGGCAGTGGTAAAAGTGGTGTAAAATCGACACACTAAGTCCGTATATTATAGTAAAAAAAAAACGAAAAATATAGAACTACGTCATTTGGCAAATAATTTCTTACATAAAATATGTAAATGATTATAAGCAACGATTGAAATAACAGCAAAAAGTATTGTACGTAGGGTACATACTTGTAGTACGTCGCATACGCTTAAAGAGCAATTTTGGGGGTGGTGTGTCAGGAGGTAGAATCAAAAAATTGAACAACAGCAAATCACGAAGTTATTGAATGAAAATAGCAACAAAGGCAGAAATAGCACGAATCACATACACCTAACCATATATCTTTGCGTGTACATGTATAAATGTTTACATATTTTAAGAAAATCTAAATATACACAAAAAAAAATGCTAACAAAAATACGTTTGAACTTTTTTATATACATACATGTGCATATTCAATATATTCGCGCATGTTTGTGTATAAATGCAAATCTACTTAAAATTTAACAGCTGTTTTCGGTTAACAGACAGTTGAGCGCGGGACATAGAGGAAGCATTATTCGCGCAAAATCATTTTCTTTTGTTGTTCCTACGTTTCGCGGTGGTATATAACAAAGACACAGCTCTTCTGACTTTTATTACCTTTTTGCGCAGAAAAATAAGAAAACTACGCAAAAGGGGCAGTGGGAAAAATAACAACAGCAGAGCTGATTCGACGAGAAATGGTCGTTGAACGTTTGGCGACGCAGTTAAGACTCAGCTCACACTCCAGCAGCGCATTACGCTTTGCACATACAATACGAACATATCGAGATTGATGCCTTTTACCCAAGCGTTGCTGCTTTGCGTTACTTTAGCATACACGGACTTTAGCGGCAATAGCTACAGTTACTGCGTGCAATGACACTGACACTGTTAACGCATAGGCGCACGTACTTGAGGGTGGGTTTACATGGCTTCCTCTTGCTCTTATTCCTTTCTACCACACGAATACCAATTTCAAAGTACATACACACTAACGTACATGTTTATAAACTCTGCTGATGTGCTGTCGGTTTAGACGCTGCTGCCTAATGATGTCAACGAATAGATATTCAACATGACATGTTAAAGGCAATTAACTAACTGACCCCCAACGTAGTTCATATTAGAAAATAGCAACAAAAGCCATAATTCTACTGCTGCGTTTGTTGAGTAGAAGCACAAATGTTTATATTATGAATTATAATAACAAGGTTCTATTGCATACAAATGTGAGCAAGGATACAAATATGATTAAATTGCAATGTTAATATTCTCTAATTTAAGTCAATACCTGTCTAGAGCGCTGAGTTCCGTGATTGTTAGCAGCTGATTGCCCTGCACTGTTATGTTCTATTTCATATGCCTCTGGGTTTTTGCTGATGTTCGTACTTTTGCTTCGTGTTTTTTGAGTTTTGGGGTAAGAATAACTCTGCTGCTGTGGGTCTTCTTTATCCTGGACTTGTTCACTCAGAAGTTGTTTGGATAAACTCTCCTTCTGCTGCCGTTGCTTTGGCGACTTTGTGGTCTGCTCATTCCTAGACGCACTGACACTGTTTCCCATTAAAGTTTCCGTTTACAATACATTTATTGGGTTTGTTTTGCTTTCACCGTAGTTTTGTTTCTTTCTTTTCTTCTCTTAACGGCTAATCCTTTTTATAACTTTCCAAAAAAATACTCGGTGCTATTATTTCGTCGTTTGCTTTAATTTTCACTTTCTGATAACAAAAAAGTTGAAAGAAATTTTTCTTTTAACAAAACGCTTTTACAGCAATAAATTAAACGTTTTATTGAACTATTAGTTACGGCACACTTTAATTTAGATATTTATGTTTTCATTTTTGCTGTTAAACTATTGAATGAATTTATATTTGTTTTTAAAATTAAAGCGACCCTATAATATTATTTCACATCCAACAGCAAACGAGAAATGCAAACGAGTTCGGACCAATACATAAAATACAACGAATTGAAATTTTATAGGGCTGCCAGATGAAAATAATAATTATTCAGAAGATGATATTATATTTTATTTTAAAATTTAATAATCAATAAAATTATTGCAATATAATTTGCAATGATAAGAAACACAAGATTTTGATAAATATATAGTTTAGGTCCCCCAACTAAGCAGGCATCAAAAATTATTTTTTTTTTAAATCGTCTTATTTTTACGCGTAGATTACAAATTCGTGAGCGGAAAGTGAATTTTTTCAATAATTAATGTATATCTTTCAAAATTTATTTAACACACACATATCACATATTTCAGTCACTTACTTGTTGTTGTTGTAGCGGCAAAATTCTGTAGAATTCAGATCACTTAGCTGTAATTACCAGTTCAGCGTGTTAAACATTTTCTTACGAAAAAAATATACTGAAGAAATATAAGTCACAATTTCTTTTGCACCGGAAAAAAATAAAATAATTAATTTAAAAATTAAATTTAAATGTATTTATAAAAAAGTAAAAAAAAACTTTTTTTTTTTGAAAAAATTAAAAAAAAAATGGAAATATTGAAAAAATTCACTTTCCGTTCACGGATTTGTAATCTACGCATAAAAATAAGACGATTTAAAAAATATTTAATTTTTGAGGCCTGCTTAGTTGGGGGACCTAAATTATACATTTACCAAAATTTTACTAAATTCTAATTCTATCAAAAAATTTTTATTTTATTTTTTTCTAAAACCTCCATTATGACAAATTTATCTCAAAACTTACTTGTCGTGTTCAATTTACCCGCAAAGAATCACGATAACCTTCAATTTAAATTTTGAATCAAAAGAACGTTTTGAAGTTGTACGTCATTGAATTTATTCATAATGGTACGTCAGAAATTCTAGCGGCAGAAGCATAAGTCTACAGTATTAAATATTTCCTTATGTGTTACATATGTGAACACTGATATTTATTTAAGATACATTAATAACATGTATTTATTGACATGTAGGTTCTGCTTGCTATCTTCTTAATAAGCTGGTTATAAATACGCTTCGTGTCTGCCACTTTACTGAAAATTAATATTTTTAAATCTTAGCGTTAATGGCGCCGGAAAAGCACCTTATGCAAAGCGTCTATGTCAATTTCCAAAGGTGTTTTCCCAGAAAAACTGCGCGAACTTGAACTTGTAGGAATTGCTGGAGCGGTGGGCTTGTTTGAAGCGCGGGGGTTCACTAGAAGACATTTCATAGGTTGACCATCTAATTGTCGGTTGTGGTAAGTATCCACAGCTTTTTCTGCATCCGTAAGAGATTTGTATATCACTTCTGCAACGCCGGGACGCACCAAACGTGAATCATATAAAGGACCGATATCCTCGAACAATTCTTGAATATCTGACTGAGTTACGCTGCTGTGCAAATTACTAACAACAATGCGATAACCGGAGGATGATGATGACGATTTAAGTGGGTTAGAGAAGATGCCCATAGATGCATGTGGATCAGGAGCACGTTCCAAACGGGAACGCATTTCATATGAGAGATGTGATGATGCCTCTGGCACATAGCGGCGTTTATAAATATCGGGACTTAATTGTCGGGTGCTGGGCCTTAATATGCCTTTGGGTGGAGGTGGTGGTAGGTCTGGTGACATGCGACGCTCACGAGGTTTATAAACATCAAAAGGATCAAAAGCTTCAGTTGTTGCTACCCATGAATTCATGCGCCTTATTGGCGGTGTTGGCGAAACGTCACGTTGGCCAAATGTGGCAAAATCATTTGTGACCGTGCGGCTAAGTCTTGTGGCGGCAGCTATTTCCTCTGAAATAAATTAATGTATAAATTAACAAATTTGCTCTTTTATTTCATATTTCAAGGCAGCGCACTTACCTTCTTCCATGCGTTCCATATCATCGTAGTCTACATAACCGCGCGGTACATTTATTAAATCTGGCAATCGAGCTGATACATGCGCAGGCTGTCTTATATATGGTTGAGTACTTTTCAGTCCTGGTCTAGCTTTCAGTACACCATTTCGATACGCTGCTGTATACAACTTTTTTGTTGCGCCTCGTGTTTTCAGTCCAACTCCAGCAGATAACTTTTTTGCCAATAATCTTTGGCGTACATCACCGCTAGCTCGTGTTAATTCTGACAATTTATCACGCGCATCCCGTATTTTTTCACGATTCTTCTGTATAATTTTATTTCGGGCATCAGTCACTACACTCTGCTTGAATGCAGGCTTATTCAACGTTTTTCGCAAAGCCAATCCTTTTCGAGGATTTTCCGTATTATTGCTAAAATAATAAGAAATGTTACAGTTTTATTTAATTTGTTTTCAACGCTACACATTTCCTATAATCATAGCATTAAGTGAATAAAGCGTTTTTCGCCATTTTAACTACACTTACAATTTCTTCACAACTGATGGTAGACCAATTTTTTTGGTTTTAATTATTTCATCCAAACTAAGATCCATGCTATTCCTTCTGTGTAAAACTTTTTCTCTTGGTCAATTAACAGCGTTTTATAAATTTCGATTTCCCAAATTGTTGGAAAAGAAACAAATATGAGTCCGTGTGAAAAAATATAAAAAACCCTATTCGCGTTTGTTGAAAAGTTGGCTGCGGTTCATATATTGTGAATACTCAAGCAGTGAATAAGAAGCAGAAAATATGTTTAGCTCTAGTGGAATATATTATACTTGACATGTAACAGTTTCAAATATTATTTTCTGAATGTTTGAAATGATAAACTTGTACAAGTTTTTATACATTTTTCACAATTGTTTAAAGATTGCTCCGTCGTTGACCTGATTTTGATTTTGGATGCGAGCCTTAACTACCTGATAACAAACTTCAGGTCATTACAAAAACTATTTTCTAAGAATTAAGTTAGTACCGAGTTTCATAAAGGACGTTACGGCAATTACAATGGTTACCTGTAATAATATTATCTAAACTAAGCAAAATAAGGCGGTACTTACAATTTTAATAATCAGATATTTATTCTTTTATATTTTCGTAAAAGTCTTTCAGTTCTAAAAAACAAAACTTTTCGTTCCGTAACTAATTTTATATTCTGTTTATGAATATACATATATTTTTATTCCCTGAAAAGGGTAAATTTAGTTTGCCATAAAGTTTTCCAGAAGGAAACGTCATAGGCCATATAAAATATATGGTCTATGTAAATGATCAGCATGATGATCTGAGTCGATTTAAACAAGTCCGTCTGTCTGTATATACAAGAACTAGTCCCTCGGTTTTGAGATATTTATCTCCTTTGTCGGAACTGCCCGTATTGGTCCACTATAGCATATAGTTGCCATATAAGCTGAACGGTCAAAATCAAGATAAAGTTCTGTTTATACATTTTTATTCTATATAAAATTCACCTATGAAGGGGGAAAGTAAACAGTTTTTTCATCTGTCTATAATCCACACTGCTCCTAAGTAATTTTGTGGTACGACTGTATTCTGTTGTTATAAGATTTAAGGTGTTGTTGTGGAGTTCTAAGGTCTTCTTTACAACCTGTGCATTGATAGGTATTTGAATATTCTTTAGCAGTGGCATTCCGTAGACAGCTATAGTTTTTTCACTGGAACGGGGATTTTTGGATCAAGTCAAATTATCAGTGAATCCTTGCCTATATATATTAAGATAATATAGAGGTTAGAGAGTACAAGGAGAGAATAGCAAGCTCGGTAACTCAAAAAAGTTGTTTTTGTTATGAACAATTGAGATTAACAAATTGTACTCACAAGCCCACTCACTTGGCGGCGTACGCCTATCTCAGACAAATTCTTGTATTTATTTTGAATAAATAAAGTTTCAGTGTTTTTTTATTTTTTTGTTGTAATTTTTATTTGCATTTTTTTACAAATATAATCATATACGCATGTATTTATGATTTTTTCAATATGGATTTTGGTTAAAACTGTTCATTGGACTTTACAAAATTGCTATGTATTTGTATTTGTTTTATAGTAAGTATACATGTGTATGTATGTAATAATTTCACAAAATACATAAGAATGCGTTGGACAATACATAAACGTCTTTCCAAATGTCTTAAATATGCATATTAATGTATGTATGTATATATAAGTTGTAATCAATAAACTTAATGACTAATCAGGGACTCATTGATGCGTCGTCACGTCTCATTTTAAACACCTAAAAAGAATTTAAATTTATAATTAAACATATAGTAGGCACTAAACTCCTCCGATCCACACATTCCTCAACCGCCAATTTCTTCTTAACTTTCTTCATTTTCACGCTTCGCGCTTGGTTCTGGACAATGAAATCTGTATTGTACGTTTATTATTTAAGTATTTGTTGTTGCTTTTAATTTTGTGTTCGAAAGTGTTTGCCGTCTTTATTTATTTTTTTTGTTGTTTTTTTCGTTTTTTTGCGTTTAACCTTTTTGTTTATGCCAATTTCAAGTACAATATACAATTTTATTGCGCCCCCAATGCTCTTGCGTTTCACCAATTTGGCTCACCAGTGCCGTAGTTGGCGCCACCCGCGCGTTCCAAGGCACCACGGAAAAGTTCAATGTCCAGTTCGTCGTCAACGCCCGCATATAACTCCACGGCGAAATTCTGTTTTGAATAAAACAAATAAATTATATAATACGTGTACATACAATACATGCACACAACAACTGTTCGGTTAGTCATCGATGTGTTGTGAAAAAATAATAATAATAATTGGTAATAAAGGAAACAGGCATTGTGCGCATTGTTAAGTTTTATGTTCGAGCCATCAAATACTTACACTCAGCACCTCACGTATGAGCGCCTTGTCCGTAGACATTTTGGCACGCGGTAATACGCCGACATATTGGCCGATCCACGTCAGGAAGACAAACTTTTGCCGCTTGGACATCTCATCGCCCATTTGTATGCGGATGTAACCGAATGCGCGGTCGTTTTCGCCGAACTGCTCGCGGAATTCTTCGAAGCCTTGACCGCGTGCTGTGCAAGTTATGGTGCAGCTTTGGAACTTGAAAACAGCCCTAAAAACGGACAGATGTCAAGCGAAATGAGTGATTTGCCTCTTTTGATTCGAAAAATTTAATTTAAATAACGCGCGCTTACCAATCGGTATCTGTTTGGTCAGAGCGCACATCTTCGTAAGCCTCACGAATGGAGTCTTTGTCTAGCCCCGTCGGGAAGAGCATCTAGAAGTAATAATAAGGCATCATTACTATTTTGCAAAACAAGCCTAAGTTCAAGTTCCAAGTTTTTCGCAGCATATATAAGCAGGGTTGGCGTATTTACAGCGCTTTTGGCGACATTAAATTAAAAAACTATAGTTAAAGCACATCAAAAATATAATACTTTCGACTCGCTTGTTGGCATTGAATGATATTTAAAATTAAAATTATTAAAAATCAAATTTAATTACAACGAAATAAATAATTAATATAAATTCCTGTCTTCAACAAAAAACTTTATAAAATAATCTAAAAACTGTAAGCGCTTCAATTAAAAGGTTTTCCCACAATGTTCAAAAATATTGCAGTTGTTTTCATTAACGTCGTTAATAACTGTATATTTCATTGCTTTGATCGTGTTTGTGAGCCTATTTATAATATGTATATATATATGTTCTATTTCTTACCATTTTTTTTTTGTTTTACGATCGAATGCTCTAGTTTATAATTTAGTGGGGTTAATATAAGTTGTAATTTTTATTAAGACTTTATTGCTTTATTTACTCCCAATAAGTAAAGGTTAGTTCATGGTAGATTACATCAAATACTTACTCAGTTTCGTTTTCTCAAAGTTGAGCTTTTAAAGAAGACATTAAAACATACCTACCATATAAGATGAATTGCCTCTAGTTTCCAATTTTTGTTGAAATATACCATACTATAAAGTCTTTAATGGTTGTTAAAAATGTAGGACGTAAGAAATGAGTGAGAGTCTGTGTGCTCAGGTTGAAAATTATCGTCTAATTTTAAGGGTTGAAAATTTCCAAGTACCTATAAGTCCTTAGCATACTATATAACAATCACAAGAGAAGATTGTGGAAAATTCTAAACAGTATTTGGCTCATGGGTTTTGAAAGATAATGATTACAAAAAATTTTAGTTATAAAGTACTAATTTCACTTCACCACTTGTTATGTATTGTATTATTAAATCTCTACTATTTGTACCCCAAAAATGAAATGTAATGCACATTAATTAATACCCTCGTAAAAATTTAAGAGATGTAACTATTATCTCGTCGAATCGATAAAAAGATGTTTCCTAGATTTGAAATTTTGTTTCTATATTTGTGTGAAGCTTGGTCTCCATATGTCAATTAGTGTGTAATTTATTTATATTTACAACGAGTTTGTTTGAATCGCAAAAGAGATGCAACGTAATTGAGGACCGTACATTCATCAAACGCATCATTGTTGGTGACGAAAAGTAGGTTTATGTATAAGATCACAAAACTGTCTAACAATCTAGCGATTGGGGCTCCAAAAATGAGTCGAAACCGAATAAACCAAAATTCGCTGATGGCACTGAAGGCCATCTCTGCCGAGGCTTGAAACAAGTGTATGGTAATGATTGTATTGATTTAGCAGCCTATTTTGAAGGCGTTAATAACGTTTTGTATGAAAATACTTGGTAATGTTTTTTGTGTCAATCCGAGTCAAATTTGATTTGCTTTTCTACGTCAATAAATGGAAAAGATACTTTTTCTCGATACTCAATTAATTCTTATCGGAGGAAATGACCTCAAAGCAATAAAAAAATGTGTTCCCTTCAAACTTACATATGTTTGTATGTAACTATGTGCTATGTACCAATGTATATGTATGCCATGCATTTCCTTTTCAAACTGGCAGTTTAGTGATATTGTTGCATTTGTTTTGCAGAATAATTTCATTACTTCTTATTTGTACTTTGTATATTTGTATGTATGTACATGTATAATTTGCAATGCGCCGATATCGCTGCATACATATGTAAATCTTGGCGTTTTTTATTCTCATTTTATTGCTTGTGCACTTCCTTGCTTGTAATTTAGCCTTTTTCTGCTCACTTATGCATTTGTGTGAGTTATGCGCACTTAAAATGTGATTCATGAGCAAACGCATGTTTTCATACAAGCATACAAAATATTTAAATACAATTTTATTTATACGATTTCTTCTGCGTGTATGAGTGTGTGAGTGCCATATGGGATGTCTTGCTTATTTGTGTATTTTAATCAACTGACTCATTGCTGTTGTCGGTTGACTTCAGTTCACGAAAGTTCAGCTGTCGAATTCAAGGAATTCTTGCAAAGCGATCACCATGACTACTCCTGACTGCGCGCATACCGGTTAAAGTTTTTTATGTGAAAATAAATGTGGAATCAATTCGTCATGTATTTTCATAAACATTTTCCCGCATATTTGATAAAAACTGTTATCAGCAAAATTTCTTTATTTGAGATATGATTTCCTGTTTGAAACATTTCAAAATAAATTTAATTTAATTTAATTAGATATTATAATTTTTTGACTGATAATAAAATATCGGGTATCTTCTACAAACAGTTCTTATCGAATATTTTATGCAGAGAACAAATTTAACTAACTAACTTTAACTTAAATCTGGGAATATTAGTGGGTCTGTGATAAATTTTTTAATTACTTAATTATTATAAATCAATACAAATTTTAGGGTCTCTATTTAGTCTAAGTTGAGAGTCTCAAAATTAATTTTGAGTTTTATTCTCGGCATTTTTATTTCGATATCCTAAGGTTCAAGAAAACTAAAATTTTTCATACCAGATTTGGATGCATATCGTAAAATCCTACAAGATCCAGTTTAGTAAGCAATATTTTGCATGAATTACCAAAACACAACATTTTCATGGTTTAAATGAATCAGTTCGAGTCAAAATTGATAAGATGGTAATGTTATTAGACAATTCGTTAAATCAAAATAAATTGCATACAGTGACTGCACGTGTCATATGTATATTTTGAAGAGTGTATCCCCATTTCAGAGGGAGTGTCAACTAATATGTACACACCCTAAACTAAATGCTTTCGAGTAAACTTACGTATATACTTATATACTTGTTTGTGTATAGATATGTGTATAGCTACAAAACTATATACCAAATATCTAAATAAGTGTCTGAAAAACAGACATAGTTCATGACCAACACTTACATATACTAATACCCGCATTATTCGCCTCCTAAGCCATAAAGTCATGTTAAATGGTGAAGTGTTTAATTAGCTTAGTGCCACTGGAGTGTGCCTTTGACAGAGAACATATACATTTTGCTTACGAGTGCATTAAAAAACAAAGTGTCTCCAGGCGAACGACTCTGGCATACTTTTTAACCATATAAGGAAGCACGTATGTACATACATACATACATGGTATATGCTTAAGAAAGCATACAAACAGCTATTTGGGTAAGAAATGTTGAAATTCACTCTGCTACTTGGCTTGAGTAAGTTTTATTTGTCTAGAAGAGACTAACTTTGAATTATATTTCTAATGAGGAGGACAGATCAGATTTATGTATTTCAAGGCGCTTTCTTTATTTCGGACAGTACATACAGAATACCATTTCTAACAAGTAGAGGCCAGTGTTAGATACATAAAGTTTAGAGTACTTTGGAAATTTTTAAAATTGGACGTCAAATAAACCAAGATAAATAAGATATTTGGGTAAGCCAGAGGCTTAAGGTGAGCCATTTGTTGAAATATTTTTTGTGGAAAAAATGCAAGTTTTGTAGAAGGAATATTGCTGTATTAAAATCGATATTATTGATATTGATATTAAATATCAAAAGAAAATCCATTTAAGAATTTCAATAAATCTGCTTTAAAGGGGCGTCTATAAATTACGTAAGGCATTTTCCGAATTTTCGAATTTAGCTTGACCCACTCGCCCCCCTTGAATACCTCACGTAATTAATGTACCCCTTAAAATTGGCAGTTATTCTATATTTCGGATACTGATAATATATTGTATTTGCGAAGCAGCATTGGCTAAACAAAGCTCGTCAGTTTGTTGCCGCTCAGTCTTCATCGTCAAATGGAGGTTAGATGAACCAGTTACAACACCAAGAAAATGTCTTACGTAATAAAAATTTTAATGAATGCGTGTACATGTGTACATATGTAGGTATATTACATTTTGTAGTGTTTTACTTTGTTTTTCAAAGCCACCGTCAGCATTGATATCTGCGCGCCTCTCACCGCCGGCCACTTTCATTTCAGTTTAACGGTTAATTAATTAAATTAGTTTGAATTTTATGCCAATAACGGATTTTTCGCCAACAATTACAGCTACTTTTATAAACCAAATAAATGTGTAATACTCGAGAAAGATTGTGCAGGAAAACGCATCTAACGAAATCGAAAGCGAATAAGATGCAAAAATAAGGCAAATAATTATTTCATTTGCAACAAAAATGAATGAACGAATAAATTGATGGTTAGTATTAAAGTGTGTATGTATGTATGTTCGGACGAATGGACTCATCTAAGTGCCGGTGCACAGACAAAGCGGCAAAACGCGAAATGGACAATGTAGGACTTAACTGTACGGCCCAAGCGGATAGGCAGATAGACAGACAAACATACGTACAGTGGCTACTGTAAGTCATGCAACTTAACATTTACGGAGTTTTGTTTTCACTGCCGTCTCGTCGCAAATCGCTGGTTGTGAATTACAAGTTTGTGAAGCAAAGTAGTTTAGTAATTTGCAATTAATCAGCAGAGGATGCATCTGCATAAATTTAACGATCAACTCGTGAGGGGCAAAATGCGCTAAAGTGCAGGCATAAATTTCGGAATTTATTTGTAACGGATATAATACGTTTGCAGCGAAAATATTTAAAAAGTTGCATTTTATTGCTTTTAATTTTGGTTATTTTCTTATGAAGCGCATAAACACATATCGCTCGCTCACTTGTTACGGCGTTTTTTTTTATTTATTTGGTAGTAGAGTTTTTTTTTTATATTCTGCTTGCTTGCATTACTTTTATGGCGTTGTTATTTTGATTGCTGCATTTATTGTTATATTTTCTTATATGTACGTTTTTGTTTTTGTACGTACAACGTACTTTAATGCTCACACTTTTTCTTATTAGCCGTTTTTGTACATTTTTGCCCATATGTGGTAAAATGTGGTAAAATGTGCGCCGACCGCCATAGAACACATA